GATGGGAATAGCTACAATAAAACTCTACTGGGAAAATGTTCTCATTAAAAAAAAATCTTGGAAAGAATACCAATAATTGAAGAATGCAAACATTTTTGCAAGCATTTATGTTTTTGGTTGTCTAGCGTGGTCAGTCGCTTATGCTTATGCAGTTTTCAAAGTGCACCAAACGATAACAACGGGTACCATTTTAAATTTTGTGGCACAGTTTCTATCATATGGTTCATTGGTTACTATCATGTGGTTAACAAATAGAAGTATTGATAAATTGAAGGAAATAGCGCTTCAAAAAATTATTTCCGAACATCAAAATATAAATGTTGACTTGATGTCGTTCACAATGTTCATTCAACATTATGATCCATATGCATTATTATTTACAAAAAAAAAACAAATCTTCCAGGTATTTGTACAACTATACTTACTGGACTTACATCATTACTACTATCTATTATTAAAAGTCATCTCTCTGATTAACCTATCGATTATCAAGAGAACACATTATGAATGTAATAACCTTAATTTAATGTATTTGTCGTTTATAAAAGTCAATTTTATAGTTTGATGTAAAATAGTCTCGAAGAAGATAACATTTACTAGACTATATTAAACATATCTAAACGATCCAAACTAGTAGAATAAGATAAAAGGTTATCGTATATTGACAACGAAAAAACTCAAGATTGTTGATAGAAAAACTCTTTTTAAAATAGAGCCCGTCACAGAGTTCATAACCGCAAGAGAACTTATAAATTTACTATTTAGTATATTCAATCAACGTTAAACCATATTGAAGCACAAAGTATCCGATCATTTCGTTTTATCTATGTGGAAAACGAGCTATAACTGAGATTAGCAGTCTATTATAGCTCTTAAATATCGTTAACAAGGGTCTCGATAGTTTTCGAAAGTGAAAGGGACTGAATTTTTTTGTAGACAGTATTCAAAACTTTTCAAAGACAACAGGTGAAAAGACAAAGGGGTGGGTCTGGGTCTGGGTCTGTATGGGTTTTGATGTGTGCAGAGCGGATTTGTGTGAATGTGGGTATTGTTGTAGGTATGAGTGGGGAGCAGAGTTTTCAGCGTGGATGAAGAGAAGATTTACATTAGCACCTATACCCTCCATTTTTTGAAATTCCGTTACAATTGGTATTTTTGGAATGACTGAATCTCGGTCACAAGAAAGTTAATGAATTTGTTACTGATACTATAGATCTAAGAAATCTCTATGAATGATAAAAATTTCACAGAGTTTACTTTTACTATTAAGAAGATATAGATGTCACAATGTAAAAAAATGAAATTTCGCAACGCTTGGTAATGTCGATGCGTTAGAAACATCTCACTAAATTTTGTAATGAAAAATCAATTGATCTCAAGATTATTTATTTTATATTCGACTTGTTCTTGTGTACATATTTTAGACATGATAATCATACAAAATAGTTTCGTTCTTTTTTCTTATGTTTTATATGAACTCAAAGTATTGAACATACTTCTGTTTAATCACGTGTAACTGATATGTACTTGATTTTTTTCATTATTCATAGCAACAAAATTTCATCGAATAACAAAGTTTAACTCTTATGATTATAACATGCACATGTGTCTATGCTAAGGAGGTAAAGGGTGTGGATGCGAATCTTCTCTTTATTCACACCAAAAACCTCGCTCCCATACACATACCATCCAAATCAGGATGCAAATAAACTTTATCTATTTTTTTTTGTCGTAGTTACTTGACAGAATTATTAGAATCATAAATTATGATTCAGATAAACTTTAATATCTGCTTTTCTGTCATACTTATATGAAAGTTTATCTATATTCTAAATTAGGAATCTGATAAAAGTTATCTTTTATTTTTGTCGCAGTTACATGACATTATTAAAATCATAAATTACGATTTAGATACACTTTCTCTTTTGCTTTTCTGTAGCATTAATATGATAGCCGTCTTTGAATTATACCGAGTGTGATACAAAGATTGTAACGTTTGATATTTTCAAAATATCAAACGTTGCAACCTTTGTGCCACATCTAGTGGTATGAGACGAAATATCATATCTGGAAATGAATGGTCACTATAGTATTGACTTCACGAATTTTTCTGCACCGAGCAAATTCTAAAACAATAGTGTCTATACAACTATTTTTCTTGCAAAAATGCAGCTTGTAGCATGTGTAAAAGCTCTTCTCACTGAGTTATATTCTTCAAAAATATGCCACAGAAAAAGAACGTCAAGGAAAATATTTTTAAATTCATACAATGCAGAAGATCATGATTACTTTCGTACATATCTTCGAAAAATTCTGCCTCACTCTTGAAGTATTGAGAATCATTTTTGAACGTTTACCGAAAAACATACTGGACTTGATGACCACTTGATTTGTGGAGTTCAATAGATGCTTTATATTTAAACTATAACGTTTGAATGACTGAAACAAAACGAACTATATGTTTAGCGACATTAGAAGACAATATGATCTATCAGTTAGAATAATACTAGATACTTGGTCCAAGTGTAACTCTTCATAGCTACATTTGATATGCTTAGTTCCGTCACATATCATATTCATCTCGATGTGCGTTACCTTTCTACATAAAATAGTCAGAAACCCGATAGGAGAAGATCCTAAGAGTCGATTTACGCTCTGATCAGGTTCGTCCTTAGCTGTATGTCAGATTGAAAATAATGACTCAATATTATTTTGTACGTCTCGAAATTTCGTGCAAATTTAAATTATTAATTTCATTTATTTCATTAATTCGAATTTGATAAACCATGATTTTTGTCGTTTGTTTCGCTAATTAAGTGCTCCACAACGTAATATATAATATGAAAGTAGTCGAAATCATAGCACGTATTCTTCTAAATTTCGGTGACTCTGCGCCATTTCGATGAATTACTCATGATTTCGATCCTTCAGCTATTGTGAAACAGTGGTAAGATTATTCTTTTTTTGAGATCGAACCATGAGCATAGAAACAAGCTGACTATATTGCAGAGATATAAGCAGTGCAAGCATTATTTGCATTTCACTTATGATAGAAAAAAAATACAACGATGGCAAGTTCATTATCTCTATGGCAAGTGCGCAATACATTTGTTTTTCCTTTTCTCGTCTCAGCCTTTAAAAGAGAAACATATCAATAGTATGTCAGCTCAGAAGAAAAAGTTATTTCTATTGATCCTCATGTTCATTGACTTTCTTTTCAATATAGTTGGATGTTGAAGCGTATTCATAAAAGGTAATCCCAATCTACTTTTTTGTTTTATTATTGTTTAATGATGATTTGACACACAGTATGATTAAAATGATATGATCTCCTCAGGGAGGAAAATGTGCAACTTCACTAAGTCAAGTAAAATTTTTTTAAGTATGAGCGAAGTACAGTGAAGCACACACTCTTGAAGTCTGACTTCCCCTTTTTGACTACCTTGTTTTTTATTTACGAAATCCATTCGAATACAAAGTGCTCATTATATCTAACGTGAAACACCAAGCAAAAGAACAGAATAAAATACCAACAGTTCATCAGGATGCGAACACAAGAGTACCAAACAGGACAATACGATGAAGGAGAACAACAACACATGCGAGAGTAGCAGCAAAAAAATATCTCCGAGCGGCACACCGTCACTTTCCAGAAAGTCTAAAATTGGATGAGTGGCAATTTGACTTCCTAGTAGTTCTTCCTGAAAGCATACGATCGTCTTTTTTACACCAAAGTACTGTTTAGAGTAATTTCAAAACGCAAGTGTATTACATACAGTTATGTGCCGTTTTCTTGTGACGATCGTAACTGAAAAATCCAACGAAATTTTTCCAAAATGATTAGTCGCATTCGATATAAGTTACAAAAAAAACCACTAAAAGATGAAAAAAATAAGAAGCCAATTAAGGCTATTCAATTTTTTATAAAAAAAGTCTAATCTGACCAAGAAAGTTTTATTGATTTGCTTGAAGCAGTTTCTGAGTCAAATGAAAGAGTACTTTTGCAATATATAGAGATGAAGCAAGCGCCACGCGATAGCATTCTACTTCGATTTAAACACATTACTAGTAAAGTAATTCAATTATTTTGTCTGCAGAACTTGATTCGCTCTACAAAAGACTAGTACACTCAAAAAAAATGGTACCTTATCGAAAATTGCACACTCAACTCTGCTGGTTGGATCTGCCTATCAAATAGATGGATTAATATTGAAATTCTTAATACTAGTATTGGATTTCGAACCACGATATCGCCTATAGTTTGATTTTAATGCATTTTACTCTTTGAACCTTATAAAATGGTCTTCTGATTGTTGAACCTCTGAAAAGTATTGACTTTCCAAGCCTATGACTTAATCAGCCAAATGATACAGAAGTTCAACAGATAAACAGAAAGATACACAATTTGTCAGATAGTTGAACGGGTAATTAATTAAATAGACAGAGAAATAGTTCAATAAATAGATAAATACAGAGATAGATAATTATTTAACTGATTACAAAGATAAATAATTCAACAAATCAATAAACAGATAAGTAGATAGAAATTTCAACTAGAAACTTGGTGAGTAGATGTGTGCATAAAAAGATATATTCAAGAATGAAAATGCAATTGAAAATTTGCGTCACGAGTGTGTTGGTCTCGAAAAGAACTAATACAAATATTTTCTGAATTCCGAATTTTTTTTTATTGTAGAAAAAAGTGAATCTATATGTATTCGTTGCGATTTTTCGAACTTTTTTTAGGTTTGGTGCAATTCTTCTTTTTTTTTCAGAGTACACACTCTTTTTTACTGAATAGTTTGCTCATACTATGAATTTGTTTTGTAAGTATCAAAGTAATATATCCCGAAAATGAATGTTTTGAATGTAGAATAAATAGAAACAGAAAAGTTCGTAGTTTAAACTATTGTTCTTGTTCGTCCTTTATAGTTAATGCACAAAGCACATAAAAAATATATTCATATTTGTTTTAAATTCGATTTTTTCTTCTCATCGTAATGTTATCATCATCCTCATCAAATAATGACGACAATGATTCAAATATCATTGATTTATTTTACGATTTATGTCAAGAGAATGAAATAGAAAAAAATCGAAATATTCTACCGCATATTGATAAAATAAGTATTATAAATAAAATTCAAAATTCAACTGATTTAATATGTTTGCATGTGGCATGTTTTTATGAACATCAACATATGGTACCAATTTTATTAGAATACGAAGCTCTACAGTCCATCAGAAGTTTGCGACATAATATGACGCCTTCTGAAGAAGCATATACAGATGGCATAAAACAAATGCTTGTAGAACATCGTAAATTATTTTCCAATAATAATTTTGATTATGATTATATTGAATGGTCAGTAGTAGAAGATGATCTTCTTGAAAAACGACGTGAATTTCGTCAAGCTATTGATGTATATAAAACCTATGATAATCATCATTTAGCATCAAAATTATTACTTGAACTTATTCATTATTATTTACATGAATATCTGATAAATGAAAGTAACGATATTGGCACTTCAGAACATCAAATTACTCGTAAACAAATTGCAACTATCGAAACATATTTCAAAGAAGCTATAGAAAAACAAGATTATTTAACATATTTTATAAAAACTAATATAGTAACAAATATTTTTTGTAAAGTATTAAATCAACATTTGGCTCTCTATATATTACAATATGTTGATAAAACAAAAGACTTTTCATCAAATTATCGTCTTGTGAATTGTCTAGTTCACATTGTTACATTATTAATTTATCACCTAAATTTACCTCAAGATCGATATCAAGGTGTCTGTTATCAAAGTATAAGAATAACACAATATGATTTAGATCAGTATCTCTCAAATCAACATATATTAAATCGATCATTTTTATCAGCATCAATGAATCGTGAAGTAGCTGAAATGTTTGCTAGTGAAGACCAACAATCCAAAATGAGACATACACCTAAAGATCATGATACGTTACGATATTCATGTTTATGTAAATATTTAATAAAACGAAATTCAACAGCTATCAATATACAAAGCTTATCAACAAGATCGGATGATAAAGAAATTTTAATTCTTCCGTTTGCAGTTTTTAAAGTAATAGCAATTAAACAAAATTATCTTGACGATCCAACAGCATCCATTTCAATTGAAATTGTATTAGAAGAATGTGAAGATTCAAATGATAAAAAGCATGAATCAGAAAGTAAGATACTTTTCTTCACGTATCTCGAAAAAAATTAACTTTTTCAATTCTGTCAACTTTTTAGATAGTGAAACATCAAGAAAATCATCATTATCACAAACTAATGAGGGCATAAAATGTATCGATGAATGTCAAAAAATCAAACAACGAAAAAGTCTTCTTTATGGCATCATTGGATTTTTGGTGTTCGCCAGTCTTTTGGCTTTAACTTTCACATTCATTTTTATTTTCGTTATTCAAAAAGGTTCCACGAAAAAGACCACAAACATGGTAACGTCTACAAACATGACAACGTCTATAAACAAGGTCACGACTACAAACATGGTAACGTCTACAAACATGACAACGTCTATAAACACGGTCACGACTGCAAACATGATAACACCTATTACAGAAAACAATAATAGTAGCAATTATACATTACCAGAAGGTAAAACTGAGATAATAAAAATGCTTCATATTAATTCAAATTTATTCTTTCCTTCTTGGCAATTAAAGTAACTGACTTTGATCACTAACTCTATATTTCATAGGCCTCAAGAAAACATGTAAAGTTGATTTCTCAGTTAATAGATTAATAAAACTGAATAGATTTAGAGTAAACTATTCTTTGCAAAACAATACTAAAAAATTCTACTCTCTATTGAAAAAGTACAAAATAGGCATGTTTGATGTTCATTTTTTGTAGGTTGTCCCGAAATATTAAACCGGTCTAGCTGGAATGCACGTCAATATAAAAGTCGTGAACATTTAAAAACATTACCGGTTACAGATATTGTTGTACACCAATTAGGAAGTATCAATTCAATTATGAATCACCAGAATTGTATTAAGGAAATAAAAAAAGTTCAAGATTATCAAATGGATAAACAAAAATGGGATGATATTGGTTATAATTTTCTCCTGTGTGATGATAGTGGTGGTCAACAACAAATTTATACAGGAAGAGGATGGAATTTTACTGGTGCACATTGTAAAGATTATAATACAAAATCATTGGGTAAGAATGAATTTCTCGTTTAATTTTCTAGAGCAGCGGATCTTCGATTTTTGTCAATTTGATCTAGTCGTGCATTCAAAAAAATTTCCATATCACAAAAACCTATAACGAATTTATGAAAGTGCAACAATCTACAAACTCTTTAGGCACGCATCAAAATTGTCTATGTACCGTTGAAAAGTACATTGACCACTTTGATGTGCGCCTGAAACGTCCATAGATTGTTCTTCTTGCTGAAGTATTCTATAGGTTCCCACGTTACCATTTCGAAATTTCAAATCATGTTTTTTGGTTTTTTTGAAAGGTATTCTTATTATTGGCAATTATGCTAGTACAAAATCTTTAATGGTATTTAAATCATTAATTCAATGTGGTATCATGAATAATGATGTTATGAACAATTTTACATTGGTTGGACATTTTAATTCACGAGAAATTTATGAATATTATCTGCAATATTTTAAAAGTGATACCGATCTTCAATATAGCAACCAAGCCAGCAAAAAACAGTTTAATTGTACAGGCTAACAAAAGATGCCGTACTGAATTTTAAAAAAGACACTGTAGAGGTACGGCAATTTAAAGATTGCATACTCTCTAAAAACTTCCGAAGTCATGCAGAACCATTTTTTTGGCTTGAATACTCTATCATCAGGTAATTTTTTGTTCTGCAAGTCTTGCCAAAAATCGAAATGATTTTTTGCAGATGCATTTGAAAAGTTTTTCAGAAAAAAAGATTTCGCAGACATCGTAGCTTTTAAAATTACCGCATGATAAAATCTTCAAGTCAAAAAAGGGCTTTTACATTAGTTTCGGACTTATTAGAGAGTACAGCAAAATGAGGTTTGGCACGAAATCTTTCTTTTTAGAGTGTAGTTAATCCTGCAATGTCCGCTTTTTGCCAATTTCAAGAGTCTATTATGAGACTATAAAGCACTTTGAATTGTCTATAGAAACCTATCTTTTTCAATTTTTAAACTGATACGGAGAACACTACAATATTCGAAGCTTTACATGTCTGAAGAGTTTTCGCATTTTTATCGCTGAATATTTTATTAATCTACCTCTTTTGCATATTTCAGATCAAAAATTCATTTTTTTATGAATTATATTATGTTGTATTAATTGTTATTTTCAAAAAGAACATTAAAAAATGACTACATTCTAGGGAGTGAAGGTGTGGGTAGGGTTTTGAGATTATCTGAAGGGTGAAAGACAATTAATTTACATGAGTACGGTTTAAATGTGTTGCCGTTGGGTTGGTACGAATTTGACTTTCTGATTTTTATTGATCATGGGTTGTAGAAGTAATTTTGTTGTTGTATAGTTTAAATGTTTTTGTTGATGATTTGTTGTCTTATGGTGATATGGTGGGTGAAGCTCGTGAATTATTCATTTTTATCGAAATATGTAAGAATTGGTTTTACTGTAGTGATGATTAATTGTTAACATAGCGTGGATTATCTAGAACAGATATATATGAGATGAATAATGATTGTAAAATATGTTCCCTAGACTGAAGGGAAAGTCATATGAAATAAAATAGCGTTTGTTTGTGTGTTTGTGGCAAAGTCAAAGATGAAGGATCAAAAGTAATGGACTCTGGTTGAGGCTTCTTTGAGCCAGTCACGAGCATTTAAGCCTGATTAAGGGTAGTTGAGGATGAATGAGCTTGTTAAGAGCTCCCCCTCAAAAATCGATCTCAGTCCAGATACATTGCAATGGCATGAAATTTTCTGGATTTGTTGGAGCTGTAGTGAAGAAGCTATGGTAAAATTTTCAGCCCTATACTATGACGTTTGAGCGAGACACTCACCAAGCAAGGGTTAACAGTAGCTCATTTGCAATCCAGATTTTATTGTCCAGGCTCATCCAATATCTTTAATTTTCTTTTGCTCGAAAGAGCATGTCAGAATACAGAGTACCACAGAGTCATGCGCTCTAATTATACCGATTGTTCAAAAAGTCATGATCACTTAATAAATGCATATGACTCCACTACTAATGACGCTTAGTCTAAAACTTTTTTCTTTTATTTGAAAGAGGAGACTAGTAAAGTTTTGTTCTGAAAAGAAGAATCTGTATCGCTTTGTCAATATTTAAACAAATTTCGATTGTTCGTAGGGATTTCAGATCAATAAAAATTATCTTTGTAACTTTATAAATGCTCTTTCTGATAATTTCTTGAGAAAACGAAGCAAGAAAGTTAGTTTTAATAATAAGAAGGCTTATGAAATCGTGTAATATACTCATTTTCATAGTTAGAATGGTTTTCAAAGAATTATGAACACATAAAAGTGCATCTCTTTATGCACCTATGTGATTGGTATTTTCTCCTATACAATATATGTTTAATGAAAGAAAAAAATTGCTTTATATATAGAGAAATAATTTTAAGAATTTCTCTTATTTCAAGAGAGAAGTTTATATTTTTAAAGATTCTGCATTTGTACGAGAGAAGAAATGCTCTCTCTTTTCTCTTTGTTTTTTATTCTCGCTTGCTAGCCATATCATTTTATTGTTGCTCAAATGTTCATATACACAAGTGGAAGCCTTATGGCTGGGTTGTCGCTGTAGCGCAAAAAAGACTCGATTTTCGAAAATTTTCAACGCTTAGGATCTGTTTTCAACAATGTTCTTCCGATAAAAAAAACTGAAGAAAAGCTCTTTGTAATCTACCTTCTGTGATTTGAAATTGATTAAAATGCAACGAAGCCTGTTGTTGAAGTTGAAAACCAACTTTTAATCGTTTCGTATGAATAAACATTTTGTGGTATAGTAAGCCTAAGTGTAGCATGCATGTCAAAGCCTGATCTAACATTATTTTCATCATTTGTGGAGCCAAAGAGTTCGAAAAACTATTTAAAATCTTGAGTTTTTAAATTACAAATCGAGAAAATCGATCACAAATCGAATAATCTGATTGAAATTAGACTAAAATCAGATTTTTTTATGCAACGTTTCTACAGTAGTTTATTGTCAGTCAGTTCTCTACTAGTATTTTCTCTCTTTTTCATGTCGAAGTCTCTTCCGACGAAGAAGATTGTTTACATTGGCTTATAACTCTATTCATATACAAGAGTTCATGCTTGTCCATCAGCTTCATGTATTCAGAAAACAAAGATCGAAAAATTTGTCTTTTACATTGTTTTTTTCTTCAAAGACGTATAGCATATAAAATGATATGAAAAATTTTAATGTAGAAAAAGAAAATCATTAGTCGATTATCGTTGTCTTATAAATTTGTTCGTGGTATTTATTTTCATGGATATTTTTCATGTCATTGCACGTTTTTTTGATGAATGTAATGTTATTAGTAAGTTGTTTTCGAAGAAGAAAAGTTTACTTCTAGGATGATTGACTTGAAGTCAATAGTACCTACGTATTTCTTTTGATTTTTATAATTTTATCCGTTAATGATTCAAATATGTATTTTTTCAGTACATTTAATTAATAATATGCCAATAGTAAAGTATTAAATTATGAGATAATTCTGAGAAATACACTCTGCTTATGATGCAATGCATTGAAAGTTAATTTGATTCATATGTCTATAGCTATTTTACATAGGAATTTTAACAATGTGTGAGCAAAAATATAAATCAAAGTCTATATTTGACAAATGAAAGTATGGTAGTTGTTTTCTATACTGATAAAAGGTTGTTCATGACTGATTATTAAGTAGAGAACAAGTTCTACGAGAGATTTTTAGCCGAATCATCTCGATCTGGATCAATTACGTTGTCCGTGGAAATAATCATGCTATTTTCAACATAATGACAATACACAACATCGATAGAAAGGATAATTTAAAAACAAGACAGTTCATATGTTAACAGAAGTTTATAGCTGTGAGCAACAAAGTAAAATGTTCATTAATTTAATCTATTTTTCGACATACCCCGAATTTTTCTGATTTCTAGAAGAAATTAAGTTAAAATTAACAAATAACTACTGTTTAGTTTACGATTTAATTTTGAAATATAATTTCATACGAAATCATAATGCTTTTATAATATGTGATAGTAAATTCATGGTAAAATTTAATAGTAAACTATGTCAAGACATAGCTGCACGTGTAATGCGTTTGGATTCTTTTGAATTTGAATTTTTTTTTATCATAGTATATCAATATATTCTATTTATTTAGAAATTGAAAAACTGAAAGAGAGACTAACCAATGAACAATTTGAATATTTACGTCAAGGTAAGTATATTTATTCTATTACCATACTTGTCAATATCTTATGATCTAACACTAGATTATATAATAAATAAATATCCCACTCTCAATCAACTTCAAACAATGGGACAAGGATGATTTCGATTGCTGCGATTTGAAAGTTAGTATATTTCTCTGACATAATTCTAACCGGTACTAGCATCTGCTGTCTACTTGTAGGATTGGTTTCGAGTTCGACGTTTGGCTGCAATAATGGCTAGACAGCGACGTTATCAAGCACAAAAAGAACAAGTTGCTTCTTATAACTTAACTATGTCTATAAAAGATTAAATAAAAACATATTTCATTTCTATGTCAAATTCAAGCTTTCTTTTATAGAACAATATTGTCTAACTAACATGTATTAATATTTCATATACTTTTAAGAATTTTTTACTCAATTATATAAACATACTTTGTTCTATGAGTTTCTCTAATGAATGTGCATTTTCATTATATATAATTCATATTAAAAGGTATATAAAATAAGAATAATTTTCTTTGTTATCATTTAACGTTCGTCTAATAAGAAAGTCAATATTAAATAAAAAATACTATTCTTCTGATTATCTTATGTGTAAAAAGACAATAGACAAGAAATAATGATGATGTTGAATGTGATCGTTTTGTTTTTCAAAAATTTATCTTAATTATTCAAATAAAATGATATTTAATGCTTCAAATTGATCAATAGACATCAATAAATAATATCAAAAAAATTATAATTTATATAAGTATGATAGTCAAGTAACTGGTGTTATTAATAAATAAATATTCTGTTGTTTAGAAAAATTCTATCTATCTGTTTTATTTATCTTGAAATAAACAAAAGAATATTAATCTTCATATTTAGCAATAAATTCATTGATATGTAAAATGGCATTACATGACGATCTTGTGTTACTAGTTGAATTGAACTGGCATGTAAATGCTTCTCCTTTTCATGACCATCTCTTCTTTTTTGCTACTTTTCTTTCAAAACTAAATAGCTTACATCATCTGATCTTATCAAAAGTCATGAACTGTATGATGCAGTTATCTTTCTTCATACTTGTCCATCCTGATGTAAATGAAAATGTCTTCTAATCAACAATAGAACTCTAGGTGTGGGTGAGTTTGGCCAAGTGGATGAGAAGGATGTGGGCAAGCAGAAGAGTATACCCACGCCACCTACACCCTCATTGCACAATTTGTTGCTGAATCCAGAGTGAATGTAATACTTAAAAGATTTCACATCATTATACAGTTCTGATAGACAAGTATCGATTTCTTGATGAGAATATTTCTTCTAGAGACAATAGATATAACGATTTAAAACAGATGTTGCCTTTTTTATTTCTTTCCATCAAACGAGTGTCACATATTTATCATAATACAAAAGATCAAAAATAACTAATAAAGAAGTGAATGAATTTTGCATTTTTTACTTTCATTCACTACACCATAAGCGAATAAGGACATTATCATGCGACTTTTACTCGCATTGCTCTTGCTTTATATTATCCTAATAATTACACTTAAAAGTGCTGCTGATACAAGTCCCCTCTTCAATTCTTCGACCTGTACTTGCATGGAAGCATGTGCTGCTTACGTTCAGGATAAGGAGAAGTACGATGATTGTGTGGAATTTTGTTCATACAATACAGAACCGATTCCTCCGTGTATGTGTGACAAAAAATATACCAATGCTAAATCTCGCACAATTTTGTCATTCTATGTATGGAGAGTAAGTATTAGAACTTTTACAGCAGCTTGAAATGAGAAACTACCAGATCATAAGAAGCATAGAATTGTGCAAGGACATTTGGAGTTTCAAAAAAAATTCTCAATCAATCTGTTAATATCTACATACTGTTCTATTCAAAATTCTTTTTTTTGCATGCCTGATTCATCGACACATATATAATAGAATTATGATATGGATTTCTATCTAATATAAGATCCCATTTCATAGTGGATGTGCACGCAACAAATAGAATATTCTACTCAATGGAATTCTGTGACTTAACTCAATTGAATATTGATAGATGACGTCCAGTTTTTCAGGTTTTCTGAGTAGAGATCTGCGTGACCATTCCGCCGTGACCAAAAAAACAAAACAAAAATTCTTCGATAATAGTTTCCACGGTGGATGTGAACAAATAATTCGGTTTGATGTTTTCTAGTCAGAATTTTTGGTCACGACGGCATGGTCACGCAGATCTCTATTTCTGAGATATATTTTCTTGTCTGTTTACATGGTCTTCAATGTATACAAAGAATCATGTAATTTGTTTATTTACTTAACGTTCATCATCACGTTGATCGTTGATCGTTGTAATTCATTCTTTTCATGCTTTGTTTTTTAGAATCCCAGTGCTCCTAAAACTCGAGCTGATTGCGAAAAATCGTGCGAAGCAACAAAGGGTTCGGATAGAGCATTGTTTATTTGGTCCTCAACGGCTTGTTTCTGTCGATGTCCAAATTATGATGAACTTCTCGGCTACGGAATGTTTTAACGTATCCAATTCATTTTTTGCATATTTTGACTGTTCATATACTAAATAAAAACAATATGTTATGAATTCATAGTTGGTAATATTCTAACGAGGGAACATTCCCAAGTGTCACATAGCTTTTGAGTCGAGAGTATGAGCATCATATAGGCCCTAATGATCTATGAATAACCTGAAAAGAGTTCGTGCTGCTAGCTTATTGCTGTCGAGATATTGAATTTTTACGGTATTTTTAAGAACGACGCCGTGGCCCCTCAGGAACACCAGAAAAATTGAGTTTATAATTTTGACCTGAAACTTTGCATAGAAACAGGCNGATAAAACAAAAGACTTTTCATCAAATTATCGTCTTGTAAATTGTCTGGTTCACATTGTTACACTATTAATTTATTATCTAAATTTACCCCAATATCGATATCAAGGTTTATGTTATTGTGGTATGAGAATAACACAATATGATTTAGATCAGTATCTCTCAAATCAACATATATTGAATCGATCATTTTTATCAGCATCAATGAATCGTGAAGTAGCTGAAATGTTTGCTAGTGAAGGTCAACAATCCAAAATGAGACATACACCTAAAGATCATCGTGCATTACAATATTCATGTTTATGTAAATATTTAATAAAACAAAATTCAACAGCTATCAATATACAAAGTTTATCAACAAGACCGGATGAAAAAGAAATTTTAATTCTTCCGTTTACTGTTTTTAAAATAATAGCAATTAAACAAAATTATCTCGATGATCCAACAGCATCAATTTCAGTTGAAATTGTATTAGAAGAATATGAAAATCCAAATGATAATAAAAATGAATCAGAAAGTAAGATACTTTTCTTCATGTATCTCGAAAAAAATTAACTCTTTCGATTCTGTCAAATTTTTAGATAGTGAAATACCAAGAACATCATCATTATCATCAACTAATAATGACATAAAAGATGTCGATGAATGTACAAAAGTCAAACAACGAAAACGTCGTCTTTATGGCATCATTGGATGTTTGGTGTTCGCTATTCTTTTGGCTTTAACTTTTATATTCATTTTTATTTTTGTTATTAAGAAAGGTTCAACGAACAAGACTACAACCATGGCAACGTCTACAAACATGACAACATCTGCAAGCATGATAACGTCTACAAACATGGCAACGTCTACCACAGAAAACAATAATGGTAGCAATTATACATTACTAGAAGGTAAAACTGAGATAATAGAAAAGCTTGTTAGAGAAGGTTCTAACAAGTTAAAATATGAAATCTCCCCTAACTACGCCAAAATATGTGTATCTTGGCTTTTAGACATTAATTAAAATTCATTCTTTCCTTATTGACTATTAAAGTCACTGACTTTGATCAGTAATTCTATATTTCATAGACCTCAAGAAAGCATGCAAAGTTGATTTCTCAGTTAACAGATTAAAAGAAACTTGATAAATTTAGAGCTACCTGTTCTTTGCAAAAAAAGTACTAAAAAATTCTATTCTCTGTTGAACAAGTACAAAATAGACATTTTTGATGTTCATTTCTTGTAGGTTGTCCCAAAATATTGGAACGATCTAGCTGGAATGCACGTCCATACAAACGTCGTGAAAATTTAAGAACATCACCGGTTACAGATATTGTTGTACACAAGTTAGGAGGTGTCAATTCAACTTTGAATCACCGGGATTGTATTAAGGAAATTAAAAAAAATCAAGATTATCAAATGGATACACAAAAGTGGGATGATATTGGTTATAATTTTTTACTGTGTGATGATTGTGATGACCAACAACAAATTTATACAGGCAGAGGATGGAAATTTACTGGTGCACATTGTAAAAGTTATAACGCAATATCATTGGGTAAGAATACATTTCTCTTTTAACTTTCTAGAACAGCGGATCTCAGATTTTTGTCAATTTGNTAAAAGAATTTCGTCTTATACATTATCGAAGAAAAAGACGTGCCCGCTCCTCCTCTTTCGATTGGTGAAAACCACAGGTAGCTAGGTATTGCGGTTGTCGAGTTATTGAGCTTACACTCACCCCTCTTTTATTCTGGCGCGGACATTAATTGAATGGAAATCCTTTCGTTCAACTATGTTGCGGCGCATTTGTAGCTAACCGTTTATCGAATGCTTTGCAACTACAGTTTCTCTGTCACGACCTGTGATGCGTACCTAGATTCTCTGTCACGGTCTGTGATGGGTATCTGTATTCTCTGTCACGGTCTATGATGAGTACCTAGATTCTCTGCCACGGTCTGTGATGGGTACCCGGATTCTCTGTCACGGTCTTTGATGAGTACCAGATTTCTCTGTCACGGTCTGTGGTGGGGGGTGCAAAGTTTCTACCCTATACATTTCAACACTACTTTTAGGTCGCGTTTCACAAAACAAGACGAGGATCATTCTCAAATGGATAAGATGCATTTCTATGCCGATAATACTAGTATGATGATGTGGACAAGAATGACGGCTATTAAAGAAAAGAGACAATATATATTGTTAATAGAGACAAAAATAATTGAAAAACAAAATTTCATTTTCAGTTCGACACGCACTAAAAGTACAGAATGAAAAATATGTCACTAGGTCACAGATTATACCACTATTCTACACTATGTTTGAACTTTTGACGTTTCTTTTGTCGGCAATGCATTTTTCGACATATAGTCTTCGATGTTTTCTGAACTCAGTATTTGCATTTGTCAGTATTTCTCCTATTGACATTTTGTTTGCCAACGAGTTCCAGTTGACATTTTTCTGTCGACGTTTCCATTGTTGACAGTTGACTACCTCGCTATCCAAAAAGTGCAATTTTCACATTCTTTGTCTACTGTGTCTGGAGAGAGTAGCAAGAAACAGTATATCCCGTTTCGATTTTTGAGGTACTTTTGTATATACCATAGATATGTAGTCGCCCATTAAAATGAACTCTCTCTGGAGAATAATAGTGGAAAACGATAATAAATGTCGTAGCTTACATTTGTGTGCGCGACTATAGCTCCGAATCAGAGTTTGACGATGGTCGTAGTAAATGAAAATCAGAATGAATGTGTCTGCAATTTTCAGAAACCACTTATGTCGGTGGGATACACTTGTGCTGAAATTTTTAGCGAAATCAGAGGAATTCTTGAGGTGAATGAGACTCTGAGGGGATGCATCAGTCTTCCTTTCCTCGTACAACATATATCAGATGGGTTTGCAAGAAAAAAATACCACATTTTCCGTGCCATAGAATGGAAGGAACATGTGTTTGTTTCATGTTTGGTCACACCAATTCGTGGCACAAATGTCGCTCTCACACCGACAGCAAGATGGTCACCCAACGGCATCACCGTGATGGGTGATCATGCAAAGAACAATGAAGTAAATCTACTAGACGATGCAAAAGGTCTGTATGTCTATGACGACGGAACGATGTATGCGACTGATTGCGAAAATCATCGCATTGTGGCGTGGCCGCTAGGTGCCGCACAGGGTCAATTGATAGCCGGTGAAAATGGCGAAGAAAATGGGTTACATCAGTTGAAGTTACCAACAGATGTGATGATCGATCAATCAAGTGGCAATCTTCTCATCTGCGAATCAGGAACATCTTGATTGTCTCAGGAGACACCGAATCGGCGACTAGTTCGCTGGCCTCGTCATGGTGATAGTCGAGGAGAAATTATCGTCTCCAACATCGCCTGTTTTGCTTTGACTATGGACGATTCCGGGTTTATCTACGTTTCTGATACCGAGAAACACGAGGTTCGGCGATATCGCGTGGGTGGCAACACACAAGGAACATTGGTAGCCGGTGGGAACGGAGCAGGACATGATCTGAATCTGCTCCTTTGGCCGACCTACCTCTTTGTTGATCGAGAGTACTCAGTATATGTGTCCGACGGATACAACCACCGTGTGATGAAGCGAATAGAAGAAGCCCAGAAGGTGTGGTGGTCGATGGAAATGGCCAAGGATATCGACCAAATCAGCTATTTAGCCCAATGGGTTTATTCTTCGACAGACACGGCAATCTTTATATTGTCGATACTGCAAACGGTCGTGTACAAAAGTCTGAACTGCTTTCTGTGCGATGTCACTCTTTCTGGTTTGTAGGTTGAAATAAACACAGTAGATGTCTCTAATAACAGTCCTAAAAAAATACCGTGTTGTATTTGATTCGGTTCACAACTATTTTATACTCGGTTGAAAATATTTTTACATATGCACAATCTTGAGAGTGCTTTCTTTCATATGGTGTAACAGCCACCTTTGGGTGTGAATATGGGTCAGGGTGGGGGTGTAGGTGTGAATGAGGACAAAGACTCACGTCCACACCCCAGACGCACACCCACCCACACCCGCACCCATACTCATAGCCTTCGGCTGTAAGACACGACACTGGAGCTTGTCGCAGAATATTTTATTTCTATTGTTTTTTGGTTCATTTTTTGTCATGGAAAAAACAGAGTGTAATACAGAGTTTGACAAGGTTTCAAATTGATTGCAATGATCGAAATTCCTTTTTTCAGTGTAGAAATACTACTTTACTTCACTACGATATATGTATATGAAAGAAAAAGAAAAAACATTTTTACCAACTTATCACTGGTAAAGGTTATAACATTTATAACGCTGTCGTGTCAATTTACGCGTATAAGATAAACGGTAAGTTGGAAATTTCCCATTATCGGAGTTGAAAACAAAGATTCTTATGTTGTTTACATGAAAAAACACCATGCATTTTTTTGAATTTTAAGTGGCAGTATTTTTTTGATTTTAGAATAAAACTAATTTGATCTGATTTCTGACTAATTCAAAGTGTGAATCGCAACAGGAAACAATGATATAGATCGTAGTCTCGGAATTCGCATAACTGGCGAGAAATTATGCATCATTTGATATACTGGCCAAATATATAACGCAACAGTAATAGCTACAGGACGTCTGACCAATCTGGAGACGCTAAGAAAAGAATTTCCAGATGATAATATCCAAGCTTATCAAGAGAACAATATTGAATATTAAGGGAACTACTTCGAAAGAAGGTCCGAAAATTTTTGTTTATCAGCGACATGAATCAAAAAATAAAGTTTGCTATTGGGAGAATGGACATTGGCATAGCTATAGAACCTTAGAGTCAGTTGAATTTCAGATAGTACAAACCATCAATGATGATGATAATACACCAACAACTTCACAACCACCGGCTGATGACCGACGACATTAGTTCCTCTCAATAACCAAATTATAAATGAAAACGTTAGACCTTGTGCTATGTTCATAGTTTTTATGATTCTTAATAAATGAGATACTGGAAATTTGAGTATTTCTAAAAATATGAATCTAAGATATTGCTCCCATTACAATTGATTTTTGGTTGTCAAAGTGTTATTGATTCTGGACAACCTGTATATGATCATTTTTTATGTGAGGCTTTTAATATTGCACTTTTAAAGGAATTACCTATATTGTAAAATGTGTGGATGGAAATGAAGAGAAGACCCATACCCACACAGTCACGAAAGCGGTTTGAATGTATCTTATGCAATATTTATGTCTTTTAAAGGGAAAAATCGCACTTCGGTAATGATTGTACTGCTCTTAAATTGTACTTCTATGAAAAATTCTATCTCTTTACTTTTAGATTCAAGTAAATCGGAAATGAAATGAAATGCTAAAAATCAAATGAGTGAATGATGATTTAAGATTTAACACGTCAAGTGTTACTAGAACAGAATGGCAAACAAAAATATTCGACAAATTTATAAATGAAAAAAGTCAACATAGGATTCTTTCTCTGCAGAATAGCAATAGTGCGCAAATTCTTTTTTTCTCTAACCAGTTAAACATAAAATTATTTCTAATTAGTTGTAGGATATGAACTCATTGATAGAACTACACTTAGTTCACTAGTTTATTTTAAAACTTTCACATATTAAAGCTTATTTTGCTTCTAAATATAGCACACATTTGTAAGGCCATAACCTGGATATTCAACGAGCTAAAGATATCAGATTATGATCGTTTTGACGGGCGCATTTCGTTTCACTTTTCCATTTTAATAACAGTTCTGCAGGTAAATTATCATTAAAAACAATGGGTCAGGACTTCTAAACTGTTGTTTATTTAGATCAAAAGGCTCTCATATTGCTCAAAGTACTCGAGATTATGTCGTTTATCTTCTTTAATTAAAATTAATTAGAACATTGAGCATTGTTGAATCTACAGAGAAAGTAATACTCAAAAGATTTCACGCCACTATACAGTTCTGGCATACAAGTTTCAATTTCTTGATGCGAATATTTCTTCTAGAAACAATAGATATAACGATTGAAAACATATGTTGCCTTTTTTTTATTTTCAATCAAACGAGTGCCACATATTTATCACAATATAAAAGGCCAAAACTAGCTAATAAAGAGATGACTGAATTTCGCATTTTTTTCTTTCACTCACTACTCAAGCGAATAAGGACATAATCATGCGACTTTTGTTCGTATTGCTCTTATTTCATAGTATCCTAATAATTACACTTAAAAGCGCTGCTGATACAAGTATCCAATCCAATTATTCGACATGTACTTGCATTGAAGCTTGTGCTTCTTACGTTCAGGAGAAAGAGAGGTACGATGATTGTATGGAGTTTTGTTCATATAACACAGAACCAATTCCTCCGTGTATGTGTGACAAAAAATATACCAATGCTAAATCTCGCACAATTTTGTCATTCTATGCATGGCGAGTAAGTATTAGAATTTTTACAGCAGCTTTAAATGAGAAGCTACCATATAATAAGAAGCATAAAATTATACAAAGAAATGTGGAATAAAAAAAATTGCTTTCAATGAGTATTTTAATATCTGCGTATTATTCTATTCAAAATTCTTTTTTTC